TTGTATATTTTTATTTTTGAAAATTAGAAATTTAATTTTTAATATTGTCCTTTTTGTAACTCGATATTTCAAAATTATTTTTTTAATTTCTGGTTCCTTCTAAAGTCTATTTCAACTTCTAATTATTCTATTATTCTATTATTATTATTATTCTGTTATTCTATTGTCTCCGCCTGAACTCTTAAATTTTATTCACTAATTATTATTTCACCTCTCCGGTTTTTTGAACAGGAGTAGAGGTTTATCCCTTGTTCCCAGTTTAGATGCTGGTTCCTTTAAAGTCTTTTCTGTCACTTCCAGTGACTCTTGCATCTTGCATTGGTATTTCCACCTTGTTTGGTGTTGTGCCTCTTACTCTGTAGCACTCTACCTCAAGTGGCTCTTGGGCCTTGTACAGGGGAAATCCTTGTGAATTTTTGTTTATTGCTGAATTTGTCTATCAATCTTTAGAGAAGAACGGCAAGGATGGGACGGTGGTTGTAAATATCTCGAAAGCGTTTGACAAATTTTGGCATGCTGATCTTCTTTATAAACTAAAGGGTTATGGTTTTTGTTGGGTTTTAATTTGATATTTAACTTAAATCGGGTACTGAATCGTATTGAATGGCCATTCTTTTAGATCCTTTCGCATTAATGTAGGTGTTCTACCAGGGCCCTGTCCTTGGGCCTACGCTGTTATATTCATCAATATCCCGAAGTCATCAATTCACAATGTTATGTATTGATGACACCCTATTAAGACTAGAGTATATAGTGCAAGTCCGACAGTTCCGATGAAATAAAACTGTCAATTGATCACGAAAAGGACGGCCAATGAGTTGAGACAAGAAAAGTCTTGTAAATTTTAAGGCCTCCAAAATGAAACTCGACTGTATTTAGTCGACATAGAGAAACACGTTCTTCTTTTCTTTTTTTTTTTTTTTCATCAGCATGGTTGATGATGAAATACGGGAGAAAAACCTTTTGTATCTTTTTGTGCTCTCTTTTTCAACTTCCGTAAAGTGGAACGATTATATTGACTCAAATTCTAGGTCTGCTGCGTGGAATGTTCGTTCACCGTGTCGTGCCAGGCATTTTTTTATCGCCAGAATCCATCTTGCACATTTATAAATCTGACATATCTGGTCTGGTTCTCCATCTGTATATCTAGGGAATCGGGACAAAATAAAAAAAGGCTTGTAATATTATCGGTCTTAACCTGGCATCTCAACTTCAGACACTTTTTCACCTTCGTGATGTGATTTGCCTGGGACTTTTCTATAAATAGTTCATGGTAATTATTCTAATGAGTACTTCTCCTTGGTGCCTCGACCGCCTGGATATAACCGCAGTACTAGATTGGCACGATGGGGTAATGGCTAGCGGCTCGGATTGAAGAATCGGAGAGTCGAGTTCGAATTCCAGTCGAATCCATTACATTCACTTACGTGCTAATACCCTTGGGAATGAAACCCACCCCCCAGCTATGAGTAGACCGGGTTCTATAGACTTGGATGGCAACTGGTCCACCGCAGAAAGAAATGGCAACCTACTGCGGGGAAAAAATCTGCCTCGTCAGTCATGTATCGAAAGGTACATGATCGCTTAAGCGTGTATCGCGAATGGCACATAACTCACTAGATTGGCAAATAGGTATTATCGTTTTACTGTTGAAATACATGTAACATCCTGTTCTATTATAGTCATTTCTTTTCTCGCACTTTTCGTCTGTGAAACACTAAACCGGTCTCTTTCTTCCCTGTCCCTAACGATCTTCAAGAATCTAAACGCAATGTCAATCGACATCTTCTGTATTTTTTTTTTAAATGCTGTTCTTTCATTGTCCTATTTCATCGCTAACTTTCTTTCACTCTAAGTGACCTCTTAGGTCTTATCGCCTTGGAGTCAATTTATGAAACAGTTAATATAACGTGTTTAAGTTTTGATATTGCATTAAGCGGAAGGCAAGCTGTAGTGAGAACAGCCAAGCAGTGGTCCATGGTTCAGCCTGTATAACCTGCCGGGGTTTTGCGCTATACATCTATTGAGAATGCAGCTGTTTAAAATAGATCGAAAAATGTAAATATATAAGCAAAAATATAAACAAATGTGTGCCTAAAATATTATGACTTGTTCGAGTCAAAGTTTCAAGAGTTAAATCCTCGTTCCGCTCTGGGGAAAATTATAACGTCCCCATAACCTTCCAGAACATTTACAGCCTCCTTAAATTTTTACAGTGTACCCGAGGGAGCGTTATTACGCACATTGTGAATCACTTGTTTCAATCTACATTCGCTCAATGTATAATATTCTTCTCACATAAATAAAGCAAATATTAAACAAATAATATATTTTTCACTTTAATCGACAATCCTTTCCTTCAAAACAGTAGATTATCAAAAATCGTTTCTTAGTTCTATTTATAAAGTTATAGCTGCATGGAAAATAAGCAAAAATACTAATCAACATGAAAAAAATACTTAATTGAAGTCACATTTAATAATACTAATAATAAAAAAAAATACTCATGCCCTTTACATAATAAATGGCTAACCGACAATATACTTTATAAAAGTACAGTAACAAACGATACTAACACGGTAGAAAAAATATATAGGAATAACAGAAAGACTCTAAGGGTATTGTAATCATAAAATATCTTTCGAGTGAAAAAAATTAATAGAAATAATTGTAGATTACGTTAAGATGAAACATAACTAATAATTAGATTTAAAAAAAATAAATTAAATTTCAGACGAATATATATATATATATATATATATATATAACTGCCTGTCATAATTTTCGCATGTCTTTGTATAGGTTGTATGGAGAATCACAAAAGAGGGGAAGCTGAAAACTATTCTACTAACAAGTACTCGTCCGATTGCTATTCAGTACAATTTCGTGTTGAATTTATGCATTTAAGACGCAAAATGTCGCTTTTTTATATAAAAAAATGACTGAATACAACCTCTTAGAAGAAATATCACGTCAATTCAATATAGCTCTAAATTCATCACGATAAAATACTTTCGATAAATCATTTTTCCTATCCTTTTCGCCTAATCTGTATATTTCTCATTGTGGGGCTTACTTTGTGTGTCAGGTGTTCATCTAAATATTCTCTGTCTTTTCTTTGTTTACATCATAACGTTAAATTGTTCAAATTATTCTTGTTTATACACCTATTTTTCTTCTTTATTGTTTGGTTAGTTTTTTTCTCAAATCTCTTTTCGTTACATTCTTAAAGCTAACATTTCTTGGCAATATTTTAATTACTGAATATTTTTTTTCTTTTATCCCATTTTTAACCTTTTCACATTTTACAACACGGCGTTCCTATCAATCAATAACTTTACAATAAATTGTTTCTCTTAGGCTATATATATATATATATAGAGAGAGAGAGAGAGAGTATTACACAACCCAAAATTACCTCATATGGGGGGATAGATCTATTTCAACTGACGTGACTAATAAAGAGAAAGAAAATTGTCTCGAGCTGTAACATCTTAATCTGTAATCCTCTACCTGTAGTGGTTTTCGGGCCTTTTACAAGGTGAACATCATTGTGAAAATTAAAAGATAAAAGATCCTGCTCATATATGACAGTAGTTCTCCTTATAGCCTGAAAAGTTTAGCTGTGGAAGCACTGACATGCGTAATAAAATCTGACATTATAAATTATACTGTACTAAATGCCATGCGTGATACACGCTTAGGCGATTATGTATATTTCGATACATGACTGACGAGGCACATTTTTTTCCTGCAGTCGTTTGCCATTTCTTTCTGTGGTAGACTAGTTGCCACCCAAGACTATAGAAATCGGTTTGTCCTGCTATTTACCCATAGATGATAGGAGATGATTCATTCCTTTCCCAAGGGTATTAGCCGTAAGTGAATGTAATGGATTCGACTGGAATTCGAACTCGGCTCTCCGATTCCTCAATCCGAAGAACCAGATCCATCGCTATCCATTACTCCACCGTTAACATTCAATATTTTGTCTTTTCTTTTTTTTCTGGATTCAAACATTGGCCGTTGGTACCATTCGTAACTATGATTTCGTCAATTTTTAGGACAAATTTATTTTCTGCAATATGAATATATTGAACTTTTCTTGTTCGACATAACCTATTGATATTAATACAATTCGGCATATCGTATTAAAATGAGATTAGTTGATAAAGTAGATAATCTTTTCTTTTTTTAATCAACTTGATTCATATGAGAAGAAAGAAGTTTGCCATCAGTGAGTTCAGTCAAGAACTTAATCTGATTATCAGGTCACCGGAAGTGCACGCAAAGATTGGTTTCGCTTGGTATCCCAATCTCATTTGCCTCGAAATTTGGGGACCACTCGATTAAAATCGGCAGCTTCATTAAGAGCAGATATAATTGAATCAGCCAATCAAATTAGATGACCTTTTAATTCCCGAAGTTTCGGTTGTTTGTCATTCGGAAACGGTCGAAGAGAGCAAGGGTTATTATGACCGAAGTTAATATTGGAAAAGCAGCTTGGCCTATTTGGTTTCGTTACAGAATTGAAATCACTGAGGCTCCTCGTTCGGCTGTAATGACTAACAGACATGTCTTGCACACTAGTATTACAGAGTACACTTCGTTTTCATTACTTGTGGTCTTCGGCCAAATAACTTTTAAAAGCTAAATCTTATTACAAGTTTCGCTGATTTAATCCGCTCATCCGTAGCGGGGATTAGATGGTTTAATGATTTCATTAAGATTGATTGAATCATTCGCTCATCAATTTTGTAGGTTATTTAAAGCCAGAAAATATTTTTACATTGTAAGATTTTGTCTTTTTTTTAAAATAATGATTTTATTGATAAGACTTACTAATTAACCCATAGCTTGGGGGAGAAGAGTTGGATTCCTATCTTTTCCAAGGGTATTTACCCGTTAGTGAATATAACGTACACAACTGGAATTAGAATACTTCTCACCGATTAACATATTCCGAGCCATTATCTATGATACCATCGTCATGTTAAAATTTACAGCACCAAGTATTCCCAAACGGCCTCCCATATAGCTACTGACTAGGCTCGACATTGCTTAACTTTAGGGATCGTATGTGAACCCGTGTTTCAACGTGATGTGGCCGTAAGCCAATTTATGAAGAAGTCGTAGGCAACTGAGAATGGATTAAATTCGTAATACAGGGGGGATTCAAAAAATTTGCTATCTTTTCAAATGTAAAGATCTGAGTAATTATAGTCTAGGCCAGCGGTATATATATATATATATATATATATATATATATATATATATATATATTACAGAGGATAAGATAACAGAATGATGAACTCTGACTGGATAACCATTTTGTTCAATATATTCCACTGAATACACACACAAAAAAAGACTACAAACATATTTATTTACCAAAAAGTTATCAAAGGCGGCGACATTAGCAATAAAATAGTTATATCACACCCAGTGGAAACGTATCCGAATCTCACAAACTAAGCTGCAAAAAAAGTTAGTGAGATTTGTGAAACTGGCGTTTACCTTTTAAGATATAATCAATATTTGCTTTGGAATTGCTGCATCCAACCAAGAGAATTGCTTTCAGATATTCATCGGTCAACCTCGTTCGATATGCTGACTTTACAATAATTCATTTTTGAAAATGTTTGCTCACAGGCAAAAGTTGTTCCAAGCACTGTTACCACTAATTTTTTCTAACTCACATATCAAAAAGATGCAAAAATCAGACAGGCCAAATTTTGGCGCTTTACTTACATTTATTTTCATTTCTTTACTACATACTAAGTTTAACTACAATCTATTGTTAATTCCATATAAATAATTATATTTTGGCTCATTTGTTGCACAGTCCAGCAGCTGGCAGGATCCGGCCCGTGGCTGTAGTTAGTGACCCCCAGGTCGAGGCAAATAAAACTAAACACGTTTATTGTTGAGCAAAATACCATTTATTCATCAAAATTCAAATGAGGAATTCAAAGGTATTTGGATGTCATGAATGATTCTACTAATTTTTTACCCCACACGTCAAGACGTTAGTCCAACTCCTGCCAAACACGCTGCAGCATGTCTTGACTAACGATTTCCAGAGCGGAAATAATTCTCTGCTTAAGTTCCTCTGGGCTTGTAGGAAAAGCGAGGAAGTACACATTGTCTGTCGTCTTTCTTTAATGCTTGATCGAGCTGCAGTTTGGAGAGTGTCATTGACAAGCGTTTCCTTCTGACACGCCAAACTGCGGTTGGAGGATAAGGATCTCCAGAATTATGGTTTTTCTGGAGGTTCAAAAAAAAAAATGTTTCCCGGACCTACTCAACGATCACTTCCGTTCTTGATGGTCGTCCAAATCCTTTCGCCCCTGAACAGCCAGCCTTCCTCTTTTTGTGTCACGACCAAATCTGCATTACAGGTGGTTCAAATCCTCTCACAAATTTTTAACATGTATATTTAAGCAAATCATCTTTGAAAAGCTTATTAATCTAGAGAGCTGATCACAATTTTAGAGTTCCTGTAAAATGATACTTCAAGCATAAACAGGTGACATTTCTACTACATCACCAGAAGAGACTGCTACCTGAAGATGAAGTCAATTCTTTTGGTGATGGAAAAGAATGTTAGACTCAAAAAAGTGTGTGTGTGTATATATATATATATATATATATATATATATATATATATATATATATATATATATATATATATAATCTCACACACACAAAATAATTGACATCATTTGAGATGTAAATATCTGAGTAAGTACATTGTCTAGACAAATTAAAAAACTAAACAGGCTTATTTTTTAGCAAAATACGATTTATTCCAAAAACTTCAAAGGTTCGTGGATTTCATAGAAGATTTGAATATGTGAACCGCCTGTGCGCATTTTCTAGAAATGGAAGAATTCAGAGACTTCATATGTTAGATACAGTTTTGGCACACTATGGATAATCAGATAAAATAAATTATAACTTATTGATGTAAATTCTTTATCTCTATTGTCAACATATTCAAATAGGAGACATTGCCTTCGGAACGACATTCTTCTTAAAATTAACGTGTGTTGAGGCATTGTGGATTCGGAAAGCCGAACTCGAAATCTAGTAGAATTCATTACATTCATTTGCGTGCTATTACCCTTGGGAAAGGTAAAAACATTTTTCCTCATTTATAGCTAAGATAGAACAGACTGTGTGCTATACTCTTGGATGGCAACCAATCTAGAAGAAGGAAACTCGGAATTCAAACCAGATCGCACTATTCTAAAAGTGTGTATACATGCAATTGAGGACCTCTTGTAAATCCAAATTCCCGCTGCAAACCCTATTTGCACGTCCGAATGAATATGACCTCCGCTATGTTTGGTCAGCTTTCGTTCGGATACGGGGTCAAAATGAGACCAATATTACATAGGAAACAGGAGGAGCTAGCTATTGACTGTAATAATTTTAAACTTTGGTGGTGCTCTGTTTTTTTTTGTTTGTTTTTTTTTTCCAACATTTCCATTCTTTTTATGGCTTATTTTTTCTTGTTTTTTTTTTTTTTCTGTTTCTTGTTTAAATATTGTGTTTGTGTATGCCAGAATGTGTCTAAAAAACGAAGCCTATCCTTCTTGATTTATAGAATTCTCTATAGAAGAAAAACTGGAACTAAATTTGAATCAACTGACTCCGCTCCTTAACATTATTTCATAGCAAATCAAAGTTTACAAAGCATAAACATCAGAAGACAAAAACTTTAGTACTTTGACCCTCATGTACGTGTAGATTGACTTCTTGAAATAACGTGACTTTCTGGAGGAGTAAGAAAATTTCTATTAGTGTCATGTTTGAATGTTACGAGCGTATCATTAGAACTCCGCCGTCTATACGTGTGAGAAGAGGTTGGCAAGATTTTTTTTTTAAATCTTTCAGAGATGCGTCCGTGCTTTTCTCGAAAATTCTTACGAAGAATTCTGTGAATAATTTTTTTCTCCAAAAAAAAAAAAAAAGTTTTCGTTGTGACGAATACTTCGAAATTAAGTTTATTTTTCTAAGATTCGTTTGGATCAGATTATTTTTTTTGTTTTTGCCACAAAGCTTCATCCGGTCTACTCAACGGCTTTTGTCAGGTGTCAATCACATGTCTTCCTTGTTTTCATTTTTGTCACATCGATTGTCATTTCTCAAGAATTTTCAGAACTCGTCTATTCTTCATTCTGATGGGATCTTCCCCTTCGCTCGTTCGGTATATATTTCTCTTGTTAACTCGTATATTGAATATAGCAGGAGATCAACTGGGACTTCCTGCCTCAAAATTTTAAATGAAACCTACTGTTACCTTTCGCTATCTATAGTCGATAATTTTCGAATTAACTTCACTTTGCTTTCTTCACATTTGAGATCTAGATTTATCTATTTCGTTTGACAAAATCGTATCGTCTCAACACATATACATATATATATATATATATATATATATATATATATATATATATATATATATATATATATATATATAGATTTTGATATTTCAGATTGGCCTTCTTTCTTCAGAAATAACTGTTTGTTTAAACAAATCTAAAATATTATTACAGTTAGATTTACGTTCGGAATATTCGTTCCATATCACGTGACAGTTATTTCTGAAGAAAGATTGAGGCCAATCTGAAATATCAAATATATATATATATATATATAATAAATACTTTCATAAAAAGCATTATTTTTTTAATTTGCAACTTTTTCTATATATACACATTAAGAAACTATACGTGGCTTCTCATTATGCTATATATATATATATATATATTGTTTCAACCTTTGGAAGTAAAGTCTGATGATCCGCAGTCCTTTAAAAGGGCTGTGGTGAAATAATTTATTACATGAAACCTTAAAGTGGTCTGTTTTTATTTAAATATATATAGTGTGGATGGTCCTGCTCGAAACCTTCACCACTATAATCAAATCTCATGTGTCGTTATCGGGCTGTCGGTTCTCTGGAAACTGATCTGCTTGACCCTCATACATCGAATTCGACAGGAGAGTCGACTATATATATATATATATATATATATATATATATATATATATAATGATAGGTAATAAATCCATTGGATAATCCAAATGGATCCTAGTAATATAAAATATTAAAACTGATTCACAAAAAGAGCTCAATGTAATTATTATAACAGAGAAAAATAAATAGTATTACACAGCAACATCGCAAATTACCTGAGATGGGGGGGGATAGATAATCAAATCATCCTGCTGTGTTACGCTCACATTTACCCGTTTTAGTGTCCATAATGTTTCTCACACTTATTTAAATATTATCTATTACTTCATTACACGTGACACGTATCTAACCAATAAGCGAAACACAATATACAATTAATCTGAGTCTGTTGTTTTGTTTTAATCATTTTTATCATGATCTCTGAAGCTTTAATAAAAAGAAACATTTCAGATTGTGATCTGTTGTCTACTTATTGTTTATCCTCTCTCTCTCTCTCTTTATATATATATATATATATATATATATATATATATATATATATGAAGAAATTTTGAAAAAACAAACAAAAAATCCTTAAATGTAGTTAAATGAAAGATATTTAAGGATTTTTGTTTGTTTTTCAAATTTCTTCATTCTGTCGGATTTATATCCATTTACACTTGCTTATATATATATATATATACATTTGAATAAAAGACAGACCACGTTAAGATTCCATGTAATAAGCTATTTCACCATAACCCCTTTAACAGGGTTCTGGATCATCAGACTTTACTTCCAAAAGCTGAAATGAAGAATGAAAAGAAAATTCACAGGTTTTTTACGGACCTCATCAAGTATACGCAAAGTTCGTTAACTTTGCGTATACTTGATGAGGTGGGAGAGAGGATATGAGTGTGTCATATGTATCATTTTAGTTTCCTATTTTAACCCCAGTGTGTCGGCTGGATGATGCTCAAATTTAACGCGTCTCGTCTCTAGATAAAGGTGGTTAAGAGCCAGAACTCCCAAAAATTTCAGAGACAGATGCAACTTATGTTTGAAGGAGAAAATCTTCATAATCAAACATAAAGATCCAGACATACTACTAAATAGACACAATGAACTAGTTTTTAAATGCCGGCACA